ATCCCGGAGTACTTCGTGGCCTTACTTTCTGTTTTCTGTTTTTGCATGCTGGGATGTTCTCGTGACTAGTGACCATTTAAATCCCCGCGGAGCTGTCATCGGCGTGCCATGTGGGTGACAAAACTAGTACCACTACTACTACTACTACTACTACTACTACTATTACTACTACTACTACTACTACTACTACTACTACTACTACTACTACTACTACTACTACTGCTACTATTACTACCACTACTACTACTACTACTACCACTACTACTACTACTACTACTACTACTACAACAACTACTACTACTACTACTACTGCAACTACTACTACTATACTACTACTATACTACTATACTACAACAACAACAACAACAACAACAACAACTACTACTACACTGTGCCGGCAATCTAAGGCCTATCGCTTATACGTCAATCTTTGTAATCTTGCCCATCATGCTAATCTTGCAACCTTGTAATCTTGACCGCTCACACCACTTGCGCCGCTTGCACCACTGGGGGATCGGGGATAGCAATAGTAATGATAAGAGAAGCAGTAAGGGAAATAGGACTAGTAGTGGTCATAGTCATCGTAATAGTTATAGTAAAAGCAATAATAGCCGTAATAGTAACAGTGGTAGTGCTAGTAATAGCGGTAGCAGTAACAGTAGTAGTAATTGTAAATTGTAACAGTGATAGGAATAGTAATCGTAATCGTAATAGAAATAGAAAAAATAATAGTAATAGTAACTTTAATAGTAATGGTCATGGTAATGTAGAAGCAGCGGTAGTAGTAGTAGTAGTAGTAGTAGTAGTAGTAGTAGTAGTAGTAGTAGTAGTAGTAGTAGTAGTAGTAGTAGTAGTAGTGCTACTGCTACTACTATGTTACTACTACAACTACTACTACCACTACCGTCCTTGCCTTTGTACTTCACTTGCACTGCCTGCTGCTTTTCCTTCCTCTTGCTCCAACGCGGTACATGAGGAGCCGATTGCACTGAACTTGCACGACGCGTCTTCAACAACAGCCGATGTGGAGCGCTCGCATTAGGAGTGATTGCACTAAGCTGCCCCCCCGCCCACATGCTGAACAATACCCGTCCTCCGTAGCTCGATGGGTTCAGAGACAACAGATTACGTGTAAGGGGGGACCGAGCCACAACACCACATGTTCTTAACCCCACGCACCTATTGACCTCAGGTCACCGCTCCTTGGCAGTGAATCGATTGATGAGACACAAACACATGAGTTACCGGGACCCTCTACAGTAACAAGTCCTCCGAACCGCGGGCCCCCGGAATCCTTCCCTTCCCTCCACCCTGACCACAGCGACCATAGAGCAAGACCCCTCCCTTCGAGTTCAGAATGGATAGGCCCCCGTGCCAGCTCGACATCATTCGTATTTTCAACATGATCCCAGCCAGCTACCGTAAACGAGCCGAAGGCAGCAAAGGGTTCTACGTAGTAGGAGGGCCAGTCCTCGATGTCGTGATTCACTGCTAACCCACTCCCTAGACCTCGCTCTTTTCAAGATTATGGTCAACAACCACCTGCGATGGATCGCACCCTTTCACAACTACACAACCTACGTCATTCGTCGGGGATGTGTTGACAAAACCCATCGGGATATCAGGAATGCCCCGTTACCCTCACTCATAATCGCTCTCGATACCCCGAACTGGCAACAGGATGGCCTTTGGATACAGGACCCTCAAGGCAAGGTGTACAAAGATCACCAAGGATCTCAGGTGGCCGGTGGTGCCTCTTCGAGCACCGTTCGTGTTTAGTGCACGCAAACTACTGCATGCAGGGCACCTGCAGGACCCTTTGCGATACATGGATAGGTTAGTCCTGGTTGCCTTTTCAGTTCTTCAGACTTCGGTGCTATCCCAAGGGGTTCAGGAGGAGTTGAAAAAATTGGGTTTTCCACTGCCGAGCCCCCTTCAGATGCACATAGCCCTACATGGATCGTTGCCGAAACTCAAAGAGCTCAGCATGAACCAGTTCTTGAGGAGGCAACAACCGGCACTGCTGGATATGCACGACGTCAGAACAGTCGACGAATCCCAAGAGCATGTTGACGATGTGAGTAAGTAGTGGTACAGTAAAAGGGATGGTGCTGTGTGCAATACATGGACCCACCAGTGACCCACCCAAGCGCCTTGGCTGCAATTAGGTAAAAAAACACTCCTGCTGAAACCGTTCGCGCTGTCCTTGCCGTCGCACTCTCCTTGCACTGTACTGCTGCCTTGCACTGCCTTTCCTTGGTCTAGCACTGCACACTCCTTTCTCCACTCTCTCTGTCTCACCTTCCACTCTCGCTGTCGACAGTCTACTGGTGTCAACTCTCGTCGTAGCCGGGCGGAGTGGCGAGGGCCCCCAAATAATGTAGTCCCATGTGCTGTCAACCCCTGTGCTGTCCCTAGCGAAACCACTAACCTGCGACAGTGATGCCATGGCCTTGCACTGCGCACCCGTCGCGCTGGTGCCGTGATGAGCTGGCCGCAACTGCAGAGTTGAAAACTTCAGCCTTTTGGAGATCCGCCAGTGCATTTGGCGGGGGTGGATAGCTAAGCTACGACGTGAACAAACACGACCTCTGCCACCAAGGCAGCCGCCCAGCAACACTGTGACTCTGCGACCTCTGGGCCGGCTATAACCAACAGATCTACTGAAGTACCTCATGGTGAACCACTGCCGAACACAGTGAAAGCCTCGCTTCATGACTCGGAATCTGAGCGGCCTGCCTACGGGCGGTGGTTCTTACCTGGATCGGCGATATGCTGCAGCAGACAGAACGAGCCATCCGTGGAGAGGCGGTGCTGCACACTTCTGGACAAAACTCGCCTGCATGCGAGACGAGCTGCTGGGATTTTTCTGTGGGCGTGGTGCTCTCAAAGTCAGGCACAGAGTCCGGAAAATCTCGGTAAAATTCTGCCAGCGCCTTTGGCAGGAGTGAGTGGCATGCAGCCCTGAGGTAGAGCAACGCACCAAGGCATCCAAGGGTCGGCAAGACTTGTTTTGGTTTGAGTGGCAGTCGTACTGTCTTTTGCACGGGCCGCATGGAGTGATACACAGTGAAAGCCTCGCTTCATGGCTCGGAATCTGAGCGGCCTGCCTACGGGCGGGGGTTCTTGCCTAGATTGGCGACATGCTGCAAGCAGACAGTTCGAGCCGTCCGTGGAGATGCGATGCTGCACACTTCTGGACAAAACTCGCCTGCATGCGAGACGAGCTGCTGGGACTTTTCTGTCGGAGTGGTGCTCTCAAAGTCAGCCACAGAGTCTGGGAAATCTCGGTAGAGTTCTGCCAGCATCTGCTAGGAGTGAGTGGCATGCAGCCGTGAGGTAGAGCAACGCACCAAGGTATCCAAGGGTTGGCAAGACTTGTTTTGGTTTGAGTGGCAGTCGTATTGTCTTGTGCCCGGGCCCTCTATTAACTCTCTGTTAACTGCCCTTGGTGCCTGTTTTGTAGCAGCAGAGTGTAGATTAGGCACTGTACTAGTTGCATTGTAGCCGCGATTCTCCCAGCCCATTATGTTGTTCGCATTTCTCCACTGATCTTGCGACTTACGCCGTATTGGCAAATGGATTGTTGCGGCTTCAATGCAGTAGCTGTAGAAGTACTGTGCTTGTTCTGACCCTTTCCTGGCATGGTACTGACTTGTACACGGGGGTGGAAGTAGCTGAAGCTTTGCCCCCACCAGCTTTGAACGACAGTCCTTCATCCCACATTTCGGCTCACTACGTTTGGAAAATCACTTAGTTATTTCGTGTGGGCAACTAGGGGGACTGTCGCTCAAATCCAGCCGAAGTCAACCCGTCACCTGCAGCGCGGAATCCGAGCGAGTCCGACAAGTGGGAGCCAAAACTCGTCCTCCTCCTACTACTACTACTACTCCGACTACTACAACTGCGATTCCTACACCTGCTCCTGCTCCTACTCCCGCTGCTGCTGCTCCTGCCGCTGCTGCTGCTGCTGTGCTGCTGCCCCTGCTACTACCACTGCTACTGCTGCTACTGCTGCTACTGCTACTGCTGCTACTGCTGCTACTGCTGCTACTGCTGCTACTACTGCTACTGCTACTGCTACTGCTACTGCTACTGCTACTGCTACTGCTACTGCTACTGCTACTGCTACTGCTCCTGCTGCTGCTGCTGCTACTGCTGCTGCTGCTGCTGCTACTGCTACTACTACTGCTACCGCTACTGCTACCGCTACTGCTACCGCTACTGCCACTGCGATTGCTACTGCTACTGCTACTGCTACTGCTACTGCTACCGTTACTGCTACTGCTACTGCTGCTGCTACTGCTACTGCTACTGCTACTGCTACTGCTACTACTACTACTACTACTACTACTACTACTACTACTACTACTGCTACAACAGTGCCGCAACTACTACTACTACTACTACTAGTACTAGTACTAGTACTAGTATTAGTACTAGTACTAGTACTAGTACTAGTACTAGTACTAGTACTACTACAACTACCACCACTACCACTACTGGTACCACTACAATTACTCGATTGTACGACGAGTAGTACAACGACGGCTGTATTGCACATGAATGCTGCTGACGCTCTCATCGGCAATGGTGCCAAGGTCTTCAGGACCAAAGATTGCTACGAGCACAGTGGGCAAGTCATCATGAACACAAGCAAAAACAATCTAAGAGGGGCTTCGGTGGGACGATTCCGGCTTTCAGTCAAACGTGCTTCGTGTACTGCTGACGTCTGACGTCGCACTGGATCGATGTAGCAGCCGCTTTCCGGTCGATGCATGGCGATGCATCGCATGGATTTATGTACCATGGACCAAGAACGCATGGGACATTGTAACCGCGTGGATCCAGGTGTTCATGGTGCATAGTGACATAGTGTCTGGAATCGACTGGGCTCTAGAGCCAGCTATGGCTGCGTGGCACGCCTCTTCCTTCACGATGCGTGTGATGCGCATGTCCATGCATGTACGATGGATGGATTTCGGCGGAACATTCTCCAGGTGGTGGCTGTTCAAGTACCTCGACCCGGGGTCGAAGTCTCATATATGCTTAGATGTTACTGTTATTGTCTTCAATCCTCCGAACCATTCTCAATCCTTTTCAGGTCGTCCGGCATCGGAGTTCATGCCGATGCGGGAGACTGATTTTTGCTGACCTTGCACAAACAGGCCCTTTCCTGCGCCCACTCCCTGTTGCCGTATATTTGCGCAATTTTGCGCACATGTGGGGTGGTTCCATATGCTGCAAGCGGCGAGTCGAGCTGCAGCCCCTCGCTGCAGTCTCGTTTACATAAGGAAGCGGCTGTGAACTTCAACATCTGGCTTACGCCAACAAATGCCTGCAGAGCAGGCGGGGTGTGTGTGCGCGCACGGGGGCGAGTCTGCATTTGTTTGTCTGTGTTTACAGTGAGCACGCTTGTCAAATCATTGGGGAGTGGCTTCACTGTAGCCCATACTGTCATCATACGACGGCGATTGATAAGGCCGTTCGGTGCTGGACCCGTTCTCTCGGCACATGGTGGCACAATCCGCAAACGGGTGGGTGTCATCCTGAGCCACCACTTTCCCTTTTCCTGGTAGGAAACTCAGCAAGGCCGAACATCTGGGAGCCACCTTGCGTTCCGGCCTGCAATTTGTTTTTCCCTGCAAAGCTGCTGGAAAACCTTGCATGGTCTAGTGGGTCCTCCTACGCTGCGATTAGTTGCCTGGTGCAGCAACGAACGGGCATGACAGCTTTCCCCGTCCTCCAACAGCGTGTCCACGGTTTTGTACGAGAGAATGAGAGGGAAGAATGTTCGGCTCCTGCATTGCTGGGGAGGTTTGTCGTCAGCTTGTCTTAGTTTCTCAAGAAGAAGAAACGCAGCTGGTTCCTTCCTCCTGTGAGTTGTGAAGCGTGGTCGCAACTGTGGTTGCCGGAACTGGGCATAACTAGGCCTTTGCTGTGGTATGTCACAGGTTCGGTTCGGGTTAGTTGGAAAGAATGCAGGATAGCTGAGGGTGCTCGCTTGCCCTTGCTACCTCCTGTGGGAAGGATGGTGGCAGTGCATCCTGCCGACTTCTGCGATTACTGGTGGTGGTACTGGCAACGGTATCAGCAGTTTGTCTGCCTCTGACATTTCCTCGACGTCCATTCTCTTGTTGGAGACTGCCTTCATACCAAATCTTTGCAGTTTGTGCAGACGGTGTTTTTGACATCACTTGATGCTACAGCGCATTGCCCATGATATCCCTAGCAGTACTTGATGGTGGACTGGGTCAATCCATCTTACGTTTAGGTGTTTGAGGTGTTTTCCCCATACTTTGGGGTTTTCAAGGAAACGTAGGCATGGCAGAAGACAGCACCAGCAACTTCCCTGGAGGCTGCTCGATGGCCTTGATACAACTGGACATGACGTGCTCAGCTTTCCTGGCGTGCTGGTTTGTGTTGCGAAGTCATTCGAAGTCGTTGCAATCCTTTCAAGACGGCTACGGCGCGCGCGGTCAAACGGAGTGTGTCGCCAGTCTCTTTTTTTGTGTCGCCTGTGTCTATTGAATTGTCTAGCTAGTTGTTGGGAGCAACAGTCTCGAACAAGAGGGACGTGCTCAGATGACTCAGATGCGCTATCATGCGCACACCTCGTTCGTCAGTTTCAGAGCGCTGCTTTGGTCCGACCGCCCATCATCACTTCAGGCAAGTTGGAAAGTATATGAAAGTGCGGACGGCATTGTTTCCAATGCGTGCACGCTGTGCCGATGATGTAACTCTTGAACCATCTAGTTTTGCTGCGTATGAACACTTTCCAAGGTGCTCTCTTGAATAGAAAAAGCACTGTTGCTCAGCTGATCCCAGGGTCACTCGCAAAAGATCTACATGCAACGCCCTGCTAGCAACTCAAGGATTGACTTCCTGTCAGCCGATCCAGGTACAGCTGGAAGCTGCGCATCGTGGCTTTAACTCGCGGTTTTCAGACAGATGTCATTGTGTCGCGATGAATGACGAGTCCGCGCACTGCTGGGGCATGCTCGCAGCAGATATCTGCACGGCGCAGCCACCCATCCCCCCCCCCACCCCCCACCTCCCCCTGGTAGCAGTAGTAGTGGTCGTAGTAGTATAACAGTAATGGTAGTGGTAATACTACTACAAGACAGTAGTAGAAGTAGTAGTTGTAGTAGCAGCAGGAGCAGTAGGAGTAGCAGTAGCAGCAGTAGTAGTAGTAGTAGTTGTAGTAGCACAATAGTAATGGTAGTGGTAATACTACTACAAGACAGTAGTAGAAGTAGGAGTTGTAGTAGCAGCAGGAGCAGTAGGAGTAGCAGTAGCAGCAGTAGTAGTAGTAGCAGTAGGAGTAGGAGTAGGAGTAGGAGTAGTAGTAGTAGTAGCAGTAGTAGTAGTAGTCGTAGTCGTAGTCGTAGTCGTAGTTGTCGTAGTAGTCGTGGTAGTAGTCGTAGTAGTAGTAGTAGTAGTAGTAGTAGTAGTAGTAGTAGTAGTAGTAGTAGTAGTAGTAATAGTGGTGGTAGTAGTCGTCGTAGTCGTAGTCGTAGTCGTAGTCGTAGTCGTAGTCGTAGTAGCAGCAGCAGCAGCAACAGGAGTAGTAGTAGTAGTCGTCGTCGTAGTAGTAGTAGTAGTAGTAGCAGCTTGTACGTAAGTATAGTAGTGCTAGTGGTAATGCTAGTGGTAGTAGTAGTAGAAGAAGGACTAGTGGTCGTAGGCCGGCAGGGGGTGTGGGTGGGTAGGGGGGAGGTGGGCGTCTTGTATTTTGGTTGGGGGGGGGGGGCTGTGCGGTGGGAATTGGGCGGGGGTGGTGGCAGCCGGGCTCGTTGTATGGGAGGTTTGCGGTAGTGGCAGCAACCGCACGCCTTCCAAAACACACGAATGCAGAACTCTCTCACCTGGGCCAACACCTTGCAGTGGGCTACAGCAGTTCGCAGGCGAATGCCTCCATGACTCCATGACCAACCTTCTTGTGAACTTAATCTTTGCAACGGAATCGCGGCTGCTGTGGCTGTCGGTGGGAAGTCAGTAGGTTCCGAATGGTTCTGTGCTGGGATGGCGAGAGATCCGCATGAGCGCGCAGATCAGGCTCACCGATAACCTGAACAACAAGAAATTGCGTAGTACGACTGGAGCCTTTCAAAAGATGTCTGCAATTCAAAACCAAGTGGGAGTAGATCAACTTTGGACACTTGAAGACAATCTGCTCACACACGCGCGAAAACCTCCAGTGGCAGATGCGCTTTCTAGAGCCGTTGATGCAACGTTCAGCGATTCGATTGTCACATCAGTCAACCACATCTATGAGATCCATGGTTGCAGCTTCTATCCCTCTATCATCCTCTATCCGTTTACACACGGCCACGCACCTGCCGGATCATGCTCGCTGCAGCCCTGAATACGCAAAGTGTTATTTGCCTGTCTGTTCGCGGGCTGTCTTTGTTTTCTCACTCTGCAGGTGGTGGCTTGGAGATCTACAGGCGCCATGTTTTTCCAGCCGAACTGCTTGAAGGCAGCTCCACACATCCGTTCAGGACCGTTCCAGGGCGGGGAACTTGGACTGCAGACTTCAACTCCGCGCCTTAGCTTAATCATGTTTGGATCCACCACCTCAGTGATGTCATGACAATGATTGAGCCAAGGTGCGCAGTGATGCAGGCAAGCTCAGCATCATACAGCCGGTTGGGCACGACCCTCCGACTGTGCAGGTCAGGAGCAAGCTTTTCGTGCCGCCGGTGCCTTGATGCGCCTCAGATTCTCTTGCCTGCCTTCGTCGACACATGCGTGGTTGCTTCACTACTCTTGGATGTGCCGGCCATCAACCAGGACCTAGACTGAGCCCGAACAGAAACACCAAGGCCATGAAAAGCGGCGGAGTCGACTATGTTGCCTACAGGCAAAACCGTGCCTGCGTATTCGTGGTCGGCTTAGTTAAAGGAACACGGCCCAGAGACCCAGCAGAGGTTATCTTCAGAGGCCCCGGCGGTGGCAGTTCAGAGGCCTCCTGTGTTTCACTTCGAAGTCAGTTTGCAGGACGCTTTTGGCTCAAGGGAAAAAGAACAGGGCTTGCAGTCAGATGCCCTGGGTTTGTGGAGGGTTGGCTGGGTTTCAGTACCTTCCTTCCCTCTTGATTGGTTATCAGCCGTAGCTCTTTGGGTTTCCTTGGTTTCCTACTTAAACCCGGCCGCAGGGTTTTAGTGGATAGCGGGGGTGCAGCGTTAGGCGCGCCGGACACGTGCAGGTGGGGTGCTGCCTTTAGTGCACCGGCCTGCATATGCCACCGAAGGCTCGACAAGAGGCAGAGAAGCCACATAGAGGCGGACGGGCTGGCGCGAAGCAGCGAAAGTTTGAAAGCGACACAACTATTCGGCCCAAGATCATAGAAGAAGGCAGGAGGCTGTTCGAGGTACGATTCGCCAGCGGCGCACCAGCCCCTGCAAAGGCACCGGCCTTAGGAATAAAGGCACCGCTCAGGACCTTTAGTTCCGAAGGCGAGCTGATCCTCTTCAGAAGAGCGGGCGCGAAGCACAGCCAGAGCGACTGGTGCGAGAGCTGTTTCGAAGCCCCTCCGAAGGGGCAGCTGAAGAAGTCGACCTGAGCTCCGGTGGCGGCGCTCCTCCTGAGGCGAGCCTTAAAGCTCACAATGCATCCGGACGCCGCCGTCGAGAAGGATCGCTGAGCGGCCGCTTGCGCGAGCTTGGGCTTCGAGCCTCGGTGTTGGCCTCTTTTAGGAGCGACGAAGGCTCGGAGCGGGACGGCGGTCTCCCCGCTCCAGCTCCTCGACGAGCACCGGGTCCCTGGGCCTTCCGTCGCGGAGGGTGCCAAGCTTAGGAGGCCAACAGCTTAGGCCCCCCACCGGGCGTGCTGCGGCACGCCCACCACGCGCTCAATCCTCTGGTTGGGCACACTACACGCAGTTGCTGTCATTGAGTTCTTGCTGGTGGAGCTGTTTCGGCCTGCTGGCACTGCAGTTAGTATCGCCTTGGGCCGGCTGAGAAAGCTGCAGGCGCTAGAGGTGCTGGCAACTGCTGCCCATGCTGTTAGGTGTAGACCTGGCAGTTTGCTCGGATCCCTGTCAGGGGTTTGGGGCAGCGGGGGAAGTCTTGGCACATTGGTATTTACGACAATCTCAGCGACTACTTGATCTGTCAGGTTGCCTTGTACAGCGCGAGCCCCTGATGATCATACAACTCGCCACCAAGTTCTTTGTGCAGGGTGGATTGGTGCTACAGTCACCTCTTACTCACTGGTTGTTCTTCCCCGCGAAGAAGACGTCCTTTTGTCATGGGGCCCATTCTGGAACGGAATGGTTTCGTACAGCGCTGTCTGGAGGATGGCCCCACCACGCGCTACTGTGAATCGATTTCATCAGTCGCCATTTTCAACGCGAGGCTGTTGGTTGCGACGGCCTCTGAGCTGGTTGGGTGCTGTTCGCGCTATGGCACCCCACACCAGTTCCATCTTACCTTGCAAGTCCTTCGCTGTCTGCTTGAGGGGTTTGTGACACCGAAACGCCTGGACTATTTCTGGTCCTTCCATATATTGCCATTTTGGCCGCCGTGATAGCTCTTGCGTCTATCCCACCAGCCAGGATGGCGCATTTACATCAAAATAATAAGGCTCGGAGCCCGAGGGCGAGACGCAGCCACAGGGAGATCGAGGTCGAGGTCGCAGCTGACGACGACCGACAGGGGTGCAGGCGCACCGGACGACCAGCCAGCAGGCGACGGTGTTGAGGAAGAGTGGCACCTGCCGAGTCGTCGGCAAAAAAGTTTCGCCGGCAGCCTCAGAATCCTCAGCCCCAGCCAGAGAAGTTCGCATGAACATTGGCCCCAAACGCGGTCAAGGCGTCACACGCCGGCCTTTGATCCAGGGGAACAGAAGCCTCTCCCACGGTTTTATTTGTTGGATAGTCAGGGTGCTCGGGTTCGGGTTAGGGAGTATGGTGCCGTACCTCCCCTTCAGCGTCGTGAAGGGTGCAGCGCACCGTGCACCATGAGGACACAGCTGAGGCACCCAGTGCTCCTGGTCCGTTCGACCTCCCCAACGAAGCGTGGCTTGACCCACACTCCTATATAACGAGGGCTGCACTGCTATAGGGTTCCAAGAGGGGTCCCGGTCAAGCGCATCAGCACATCTTCCTCGCAAAAAGCGAACCGGCAAGACCCCGAGCAGCGCCACCCCGGCGCGCTTCCCAGCAAGGGGAGATCGTGGAAGCCGAGGTTGATCGAGGAGGCAGCACCGGTAGGACGCCCGAGAGGAAGAAGGTGCGGAGGCTGCAGCCCAAGGCGCAGCAAGTGCAAGCAGCTCCTCCCAGCAAAGGGTGCTTGCATCGCGCACCGAGACCACAGGGGTGTTCGACATGGCGCCACGTCCTCGATAAAGCCTGGTTAGAAAATCGGAGTGCTACCTGGCAGACACGGAGAGGCTCACAAGGCTTCAAAGTGGAGTTCATCGCCGCCTTGAAGGCATTTTGTGAAGATCACAAACCCCTCCGGGTCGCAATCCTTAGCTACTGCACCCCTTCCAGCGCAGAGTGGTACCAGTACCAGCATCACTTTCTCGAGGAGGCTCGTACTACTTGCGTGACGCACTGCCGGCCTCGATCAACCTGAGTGTCGCCCAGACCTTCAGCCGCACGGGGCCGGACGGAAAGGCCCAGCAGCTGAGTACGATAGATCCGCCAGCAAGCCTGATCATTGACGACAATCGCAGTACTGTTGATGGACAAAATCCTGCATGACCCTTAGGACTCTAAACTCTGGGAATTATGGCATATTCCGCATAATGGGTAATGCAGGATTTTGTCCAACAGTATCATCCAGGAGTGCCGCAAGACTGGCGCACTGGTGTTGCAGCAGACAAGGGTGGAGGCGTCGACCAGCTCATTAACGAGCTTAACCAGGCAAGTGCCCTCACCAGGGCCACAACAACTTGCCAAAGGCGCGGCGGCTGACGCTGCAGGAGTTGCTCTACGAAAAATTGCGCCCTAGGGTGCTGCTTCAAGCGCACCGGGCCGGCTACCCGTGCCACAAGCAACGAAAGACGAGAGCCTCTCCTTTGGGCGTGTGGCGCCTTGGGGTGCTGCCCCGGCGCACCGGCCATAGAGCCCGTGGGTGTGGGTGTGGGTGTGGGTGTGGTTCTCGGCGTGGGCGTGGGCGTGTGCGTGTGCGTGTGGGTGTGGGTGTGGGTGTGGGTGTGGGTGTGTGTGTGTGTGGGTGTGTGTGTGTGTGTGTGTGTGTGTGTGCGCGTGTGTGCGCGTGTGTGCTCGCCCTCAGCCCGGGATAAAGGCTGATCCTTTCGAGCTGCGTCGCAGCCAGGATATGGCAAGATCAGCTGGCTTTGGGACACGGCCGCGGGCCGACATCTCATTGGCCCCCAGGCGCTGTCCTCGAAGGCACTTTCTTGTGTTACCCGCCAGAGACACCCATTGGGGCTCGTGAGGGTACGTGTAGCTTAGCTTTTGAGGGTAGTATAGGCTTCTTCCCGGAGACGAACAGGTTTACGTGCTCAAGGAATGTCCTCCAGCTTTCTCTGTTGGGAAAGCCGTCCTTGATGAAGGTGCGGTGTTCGTTTGTGGTCCGCATGTGCAACGGCCTTACTTGGTTAAGAAGGAGGACGTTCACCGCTGCAGGCTCAAAGCTCCCTGCAAGGCCGGGATCAACGCCACGCGTGTTGTTGAGTACGTGCCTCAGTTTGACGAGACACTCTAGCCAGCGACGCGGGAGCACAACCCAAGCTTGAGCCCCGTAACTGCCTCAGCAAACCCAGCGAAGAAGGAAGACGACACTATCTCCTTCAGTGATTTCGAGATCGATGAGATCAAGGACATCGACACAGGGTATCCTCGCACCACATCTGGTGAATACGACTGGGAAGATGATGTAGTTGAGAAGTATGCAGCGAAGAAAGCAGAAGCAAAGAGGTTTTTTGATAAGGCGCTGTAGGTCCGACAGCTGCCAGCGAAAGCTCGGAGGCCGAGCTCTTCCCGGAGCTCTCCAAAGGGAAGCCAGAGGGTACACAACTGCCTTCACAAAAGCTGCTTGCAAATGGGGCTGCACCTGGTGCCGCTAGTTCGCGTGAGGGGGCTGCTCCCAGAAAAAGCGTCTTTTCCACAGAGCAACAACCGCCTTTACCACCTTTTCCGGTGCCCGGCTCCACGGTCGAAGAATTGAGGGCAGAAGCAACCTCAGAGAAACACCTTGGGACTCACTTCCCTAAGAATCCCTTTTGTAAGATCTGCCACATCGCCAAGAACACCTCAATGCGTGTGGCTCACAAGCCCGATGGAAAGGCAGATGACATGATTGATGCACCCGCTGCTCCCTTCCAGCAGCTTGCCTCAGCGTTGCCGCCGAGGAAGTGGGTATGACGGTATGACACCTGAACCCTCGCTGCCGAACGGGTGGCCACACAATGCCATGTTGGAAAGAGATATTCGTGAAGAGAAGGAATGTTGTCGTGCTGTTCATCTGCAGAGCGGACTACCGCACAATATGCACTCCTATTTGTATCCATACGCATGTCTCTCCCTATCTTTTGATAGGCAGGCTGAAATGCCCTTACGAAAGAACCCTTCAATGGGAAAAGGGTCTGCTTTGGGCAACTCGTTTGGTATCGCTCTACAGGTTCTAAGCGTGCTCTTGAACCCAACATGTCGCCAGGCTTGTTTCCTTGGGTGGCGGATAGACGCAGGCATGCGTTATCGAAATGTTGTTAAGGTTCTTGATTACAACTCGTAAGGCCTTAGTAGATGCTTCTACTTTGAGTGCCGCCTCTGACTGCCCGAGATCCCGTTGTGGGAGATACCGTTTGCCTTCAAGAGCATAGGGACGCCAGCGCCCAGGACCCCTGGCGTTAGGACGGTCTATATCACTGCTGATAGGATCGTTAAGTTCGGGGAAACGCCGGGTTGCTT